CAGAATTCCAGGCTGACAGTTCTCTGTTAGCACTTTAGCTGTGTTTGCCCAACTCCTAGCTCTCCTGGTTTCTGGGCAGACATCTTGAGGCATCAAGCCTGTGTTCCCCTGTAGACAGTTCAGGGATTTTACCTATTTGCTTTTCTTTCCTTTTGTTTTTCTGCTGCAAGTTGGCGATGTGATATGGGTGTGGGTTTGTGGATTTATTCCATTTGGGGTTGGTTCAACTTTTTGAGCCTGTGAGTTTACAACTTTAAATAATTTTGGAAGCTCTTAAGGCATTATTAAATAATTTTGAGGGGCCCACACTTTTGGCATTTGAGTTTTGGGATCCCAGAGACATAACTATGAAGCTCTTTATAGTTGTTCTGCAGCACTTCAGATGTGAACACTTCTTCCTCTGTCATCCAGGCTCCAGATTCTACAATGAGTCTTTGCATTTACTGACTCTCCTCCCTTTCATCTGGTCTCAGCTTCCGCATCCATCCGCTGAACTTCTTGATTAGTGGAACACTAATTTCTTTAAAAATTTTTTTCACTTTGGGGGCTGGAGAGATGGCTCAGTGGTTAAGAGCATTGCCTGCTTTTCCAAAGGTCCTGAGTTCAATTCCCAGCAACCACATGGTGGCTCACAACCATCTGTACTGAGATCTGATGCCCTCTTCTGCCTGCAGGCACACACACACACAGACAGAATATTGTATACATAATAAATAAATAGTTAAAAAATTTTTTTCACTTTGTTTTTCTTTGTATCTTCTATATCTTGAGGAGGTTTTTTTTAGTTTAGTATTCATTTCAAGAGTGTTCATTATATTAGCATATACATATGCATATTTTAGTATTTTAAAGTAACTGCTTTAAGGCCTTTGAAAATGACTCATGTCCAGTATGGTGGCACTTACCTGGGAGGCAGAGGCAGGCAGATCTCTGTGAGTTTGAGGCCAACCTGATCTACAAAGTGACTTCCAGGACATCCAGGGCTGTTATACAGAGAAACCCAGTCTCGAAATACTGAAGAAGAAAAAAAGGAAGGTGACTCATGTATTCATGCTTTTTCTGTCATTATTCTCTCATTCTGGTGCTTCTTCGAAGTGATTCAAGATTTTCCAGTTTTGTTTTGTTTTGTATTTTTGTCTACTGAGTAAGAAGGGATTATACCCTGGGTATTTTTTTCATAACATTCTGGGGGCTTATTTAAATCATAGAGATAAAAAATGATCTCCTCTCCTCTCTCTCCCTCCATCTCTTGTCTTCTTTCTCCTTTCCCTCTCTCTTTGTGACCCCTTCAACTTTAAACTGGTCAGGCACAGGATGCAAGGTTCTGTCTGCCTTTTGTGCATATCATTCTAGTATCAGCTTAGATTTCAAGCACATGTAATGAATGCTCTTTGATGCTTTCTATGAAGCTCATCACTTGGATAATCAGCTGAGGCCTGAGCTGCACTCACCTGTGATTTAAGTTCTCAGTGTCTGTCTATGGGAATGTCAAAGCAGGCATCACCTGGGGCGAACCTCGGAATTCATGCCACAAGACTCCCTGAGACTGACATCTCCAGTTTCTCCCTTTACTGGTCCTCAAGCTAGAATCCTGGGGTTCTAGCCATCCCACTCAACTGCACTTAGCTGTGATTGCCTAAATGGGAAGATAGGAGGGAGGGAGGAGTAGAAGAAGACAGGAAGAAAGTAGGGTGAGAATCGTTCTAAGAATTATGCTTCCTTTTCAGCGACTCAGGCCATAACTGCATGGACTCTCTCAGCGCTCCGTCTGCACAGTATGTACTTGTGGGCTCCAGCTGACCCAGGTCAGGGGACACAGGAGGGAAACCCGAGTGCCACAGCAGCTCAGCTCCAGTGCTCCTTCCTGATGCATGCATTGCAGATGTCTTGTACATGCATGCTGGCCACATTCTGCAACGCTGTTCAGTGGGAAGACAGGGTGACCGTGCTTGCTCCATTCACCTAGGTAGAAACTAGATTTTTGTTGTTGTTGCTGTTTAAAAGTCTAACATTAAAACAGTTATGTTACCATTTAGTTAGGATTTGGCTGGAATATACTTTGCAGTCTAATGATGTAACTTCCTTCCCCTAGGCCCTGCCTTCTAGTGTGTCTATTATTTCATACCAGCACTACAGGCTGGTGGCTAGGCTTCAACACATAAGATTCTGGGGGCAGTGAAGATCCTCATAAGAAATGTCTGTAACATCAAGGGACTCAATGGGAGGCTGTTACTTTTGCAATGCAGGTACCTGACATACATCTTACTTAACTGTTGTAACTAATCTTGTAATAGTAAAATATTATTATATTTACTAGACCAGAGTCAGGATGAAGCCAAGAATTTGGTTCCCCTCAATTTGGAGGCTGTAGCCTTCCTCACATTAATGTACGGCCGCCCCTCTGGGAAGGAGGTGCCACTGGCTGTTCTCTGGGAGATACTCTGTAGTTTCTCCAGGGGGTGGTGTGTATTAAATCCGCTAGAGAATAAGGAGAGGGCCTATTTTCATAGTAATTGACTGGGATCTCCAAGCACAGTGTGGTATATATAGCTACCCTAAAGCAGACAGTTAAAAAAAACGATTGCAAAGTGATCTGTGACTCATTCAAACCAACAAATTTGGGTTGTATATATTTGCCTCAATTCCAAGTACATACACAGTGAACAACGAACTCTGAACTAAGACTACAGAAATGAAACAACTGAGTTTCACATCACTTCGAAGCTTATATATAAGTTTAGGATTAAGCACAAATGTTGGGCAAGGTAACTTTGGAGTGAATTTTAAATATGGAAAAACTTATTGGGATGATCATGAATCTGGTTCCTGGTTCTGGGAATCTAAGAAGCAAGATTCTAAGCTACTAGGTGGTCTCCCCTCTTCCAGTTTCTCCTGGCCTTGATCTCCCCAAACATCCTTCAATCAAGTTGCTTCTGTGTACTTTCTTGTGGCTCATTATCGTTTCTTTCTTTTTTCTTTCTTTTTTCTTTTCTTTTCTCTTTTCTTTTTTCTCTGTGTAGACCAGGCTGTCCTAGAACTCACTCTGTAGATGAGGGTGGTCTTGAACTCACAGATATATCCCTGCCTCTGCCTCCCAAGTGCTAAGATTAAGGGTATGTGCCACCACTGTCTGGCAAAGCAAACTACATTTCGGTTTGTTGTTTGCTTTGCTTTTTGAGAAAGAGTCTTTCTGTGTAACTTTAGCTGTCCTGGAATTTTCTCTGTAGACCACACTGGCCTCAGACTCACAGAGATCCACCTGTGTCTGCCCTGTGCCACCACCGCCTGAATTTACTATGCTTTCTTAATTCTTTACTCATGGCCTTCATAATGTGGTTCCTAGTTGATATGATTTCGATTGGAAGTATCCTCCCCAAGTTCACAGTTTGAATGCTTGACTCCTGGATTGTGGAGCTATTTTAAACACTGTGGAGCCTTCAGGGGGTGTGGTTTGCCCGGGTGAAGTAGATTACATGCCGTGGGACTTGGTCATATCCACCTCTGGTTCTTGCCATGTGAACTACCCACTGCCTCCCACTCCACTGCCATAGACCACTCTGATGAGCCTTCTACTGTGGATTGAAATCACAAGTCACAGCAACTTTTTCCTCCTTCCAGTTGCTTCCATCAGGTATTTTGTACTGTCATGAGAAAAGCAAGGGACCCATGTGCCTGCACCACTGTCTTATCTCCTTCCACATCGGGGCTTTCTTATTCCCACTCCTCTGACCCGCTTTTCCGGGCACCCTCATTCTCATCCACTCGTCCTCCTGATCTTTCCTGCTCCCCCTCCTGAAGCACAGTACATATACTCTTTTGTCACCAACATAAATGCTGTAGGTCCCTTTAAATTTACTTTTTGTTCACCCAATAGACATTTGTCCATGCTGTGAAGAGTGGGTTTCTAAGGTTGCTTCTAAGATGCCTTGTCCCACTCAGTCATCCAAAAGACATTATCATTTTTATTACACGTCTAGCCCAATTGAGGTTCCTTGTTAGGGGGAGCTCTCATTCTGGTTATAACAAAGAAAGGGATATTTATCTAGAGGAAAAACTTAATTATAATTGTGAGTCCCTTAACTGAGGCAATCATAAATTGTGTTGCACAATTATTCTTAAATAAAACAATTTTAATATTTGAGTATATAAATTGCCTTGCTTCATGCTGTGAAAACCGCCCAAGATAACAGCTTTCACTTCATGGTTTTTTTTTTTAATTGTCTCCATTAGAGGCCTGGTATTCTTCTACCTCAGAGCTCATCTTTTCTTTGTCATTTTTTTTTGCCTCTTATCACCTCCCTGTGTTCCAGTCAGTCATGCAGGCGGGAGGACTGCGACTCAGAGCAGTCCAGTCAGCCTCATGCCCAGGCTTCCCATACTCTGGGGAAGTGCGGGTGATAGAGGGTGATGTCAGAGAAAACATACTCTGAAGATGAAGACACGAGGAAGCAGGAAGATGAAGGGATGAGGAGGGAAGGGGACCCACAGGATATGTCTGGGATTCTTAACTGTTGGAATTTCTTTCACTAATCCCTGCTGGTTAGTACTGACCACACATATTCAAGAGAGGAGGGGGAAATGCATTCATGGAAAAGTTACTTGGTAGTGTGACTTTGGGGAAAATGAAGAGAACTGGCAAAATCTGTGGCACAGTCTACCTTGCTGTGGCCTTGTCTTTAACAGCACGAGCACAGTTGGCTGCAAACCCCCGCAGTTCACCAACTAAAAATGGACAAAGACTTCTTCTGCTTCACCAGCCTGTGTCCCACAGGACAGATCACTGCTGCTTTTGCTTTCCAAGACCATCATAAAAATAGTTTTGCCCTTAAAGTCAATGACTTGATCTTAATTGGCTTGTACTCTAGATAACAAGAAATACGCTTTGGCCAATTATGCATATGCATTTGAACTGGGACACCAGAAGAAGGGAAACTTGTTTTTACAGGCGCACACTGCTGAAGTAATTAGAGAGGCTGTGCTCTGAGCAATCTCCTACTCACCCAGAACGTAGATCTCACAGTTGACGACGGCGGCGCTGAACCGGTACTTAGAGTACTGCATGGGCGCCCGCTCTCTCCATTGATCTTGGCTGGGGTCATACTGCAACAGTTTGTTGCTTAATCGATCCGGCTCTTCATCAGGAAGATCCATCTGTATGAAATATGACAGCAAATGTAACAACAGACCACTTAGAGGCCTTTGTGAGCATGTAGACACAATTAATCAAAGCAGACAGAGGAGGAGATGAATGGAGGTTAATTGTCTCACCCAGACTCAGACTTCCCAAGTCCTGAGACTTGGGGTTGTCAGTACTCTGTCAATATTAGAGGGATTTATATGTGCAATGGGCTAACGTGTTGGTTTACAGCAATCGGTGATTTTCACACTTAGACACCAAAAAATGAAGCAACTACAAAATTAAAAAAAAAGCAAAGTTGCTTTCTTGAACAGTGTGTAAAGGAAACCCTAACCTTAACAAACTTCATAGTTGTGAATTTTAACGATACCCATGAAGAACTAATTTTAATAATTCATATGGCATTTTCTTTATATTTTTCTAATCTATAAAAAATTCAAAACATTTTTACTGTGTTAGTAATTAGAGGATTTTAGACCATAATTATGAGTTATATGTAAATAACCTGATTTCAGTTTTCAAGATAATAGGATTAGCATAAGTTACTTGGAGTTATGGTTACATATTCACTTATGTTATATATTTGTATATTTATTTAGTGACTAGATAGTAAAAATTGAAAAATTTTATTCTTACATAGATACAAGCAGCTTCTACCTGTAAACTTCAGGTAAAATAATGTTATTTATATAATACCTGGAACTTTATAACAACTCTGAGTTAAGAATTTATGTGTCTCTCTTTTGAGTCCAAGTTTTTAACAGAGAAATAATTGCCACCCTTAGGAATGTTACATGCACTTCCCTTTAATCTAGGCCTTTAAAATGATGGGAATGCTGACACCATGGGCACTCAAAGCCCAGTTTCATGTGCTGTACCTGAAGCTCAGTGAGACTGTCTCATGACACAATACTCATTTAGAGACTACAAATTAGCAAACATTGCCTTTATTGCTTACTTTCCTTCAATTTTAGGTATTTAATCTCCACAGTAGTAAAGCAAAGCTTCCAAATTGTTTTGAGGGATTGTTCATGCAAATTCACTGTGAAGTGAATAGTTTTAGAAAATATAACTATAGATAATGTCAGGTTCTAGCTACCACTGTGATGAAATATGCACTGTTTAATCTATAGCACAAATTGAAACATACAAAGTATAATAAAATTTTTGAAGCTTATGGAGGGAATGCAAAAGCATGTGTTTCATCATGAGGCAAATCTGGAAAACATAAGAAAAAACACAGGAAAAATAAATTTATGTCACAGGGACAGCCAAGGAGTGAGAGTAATCTGCATTGGAAAACAAGAAGGCAAGAGCAGAGGACAGCTGAAAAGACACCACCATAAATGCCCAAGGTCCAGGAGGACCCTGAAGGACACAGGGCCACTGTGCTCACACTGCTGACATCTCTACTGGCTTGCCATCACTTCTCTGGGCTTCAACATCAACAGCATTCTGCTGATATTGCTGATGCCCAGGAAGGACACTGGTATTTACAGTCATACATACTGTCTTGGAAATGATGGTGCCACGACAGAATCAATATTCAGATTTTTCATTTACGGTAAGACCCTGTGTGTATGTGTCTCTGTGTTTGCCCACACACATTTGTACTTACCCATGGTGAATGGGGGTTTTCACGTACATGTGCATATGCAGATGTTAAGCCCAGGTGTTCCCCAGGAAGGTTTATCTTATGTTATTGAGACAAGGTAGCTCATCAAATCTGGAGTTTGACAATTTGACTAGACTGGCTAGCCAGCATGCCCCAGGGATTCTCCTGTCTCTATATCCTCAGTGCTGGGATTACAGGCATTCACATGGGTGCTAGGAATCAGGTTCTCATGTGTGCACGATGAACATCTTCCCAACCAAAACATTTCCCTAAACCCTGCAGCAAGAATCCTACGAGTGACTGGCCCCTGGCCCCACGGCCATCAGACAGCAGGACTGGAATGAGGATACATCTGTACCACTACTTAGATGCTCACCACAGCTACCCCTTGGCAGAGGGATCTTTTCCAATCAGCCAGTAGGGGAAGAATTATGAAGTCCATAGCATAGCATGAGCATTAGATACACCCATGTCTATAAATAACACATTTAAAAATCAACTTCTAAACCAGCTTTGACAATTTCAAGACTTAAGTTTATATTATACAGTGTAAAAAGCATTTTGCCAAAATGTAAGCCGTAATCTTTTAGTACTCAACATCTGATACATTTTCCAGAAAAGCCAGTCACACTAGGTAGATATGCAAGGAATTTCTTAACCTGAGGGGTCCAGCCTCCGATGACATACAGTTTATTGTTCACTGTCACCACAGCGTGACAGGCCAACTGCAGTGGAAGGGGAGACACTCGTTTCCAGTTGTCTTGATCTATGGAGTACTTATCAACACAGTTTGTGATGAGGTACTGGTTTTTAATCTTCATCTGTCCTCCTATGACATAGAGGTCATTATGGATGCTGCCCAGAGCGTAGAGCTCTCGAAATTCAGCGGTGCATAACTTTTCCCAAAACTGTTTTCCTCTATCATGATACCTGCAAGTTAACACACATACACACACACACACACACACACACACACACACACACACACACACACAGAGAGAGAGAGAGAGAGAGAGAGAGAGAGAGAGAGAGAGANCAGAGAGAGAGAGAGAGAGAGAGAGAGAGAGAGAACCAGGATTAGAGTTACCATGGCAACAACTCACCCAAGAAACACATTTAAGCTTTTTTTTTTTCAACACAAAACAATATGACCTGGCTCTTCTAATTGGAGGAGAAACAGATCATTAAGACAAGACAGTAATACATATTTGCTTTCTTTTTCCCCAATGATCAATGAATAAGACATAATATGCTGAAATATATTCTTCATCTCCCTGGAGAATTACAGGAAAAAACAGAAAAGTAGAAAGAGTATACCTTACCCCAGACTAGTTTTTAACATTTCCTGATTCTGGTAAAGAAAAGCAGGCATAGGAAAATCTTTCAGAAAATCAGTTTTTAACTTTAACATAAATGAATAAAGAAACAAAGATACAAAATACCCTGAATATTTAGATAAGAAATAGCATCTTAGTGAAACATTAAAGAATTAATGGTTTTAGGCAGAGAATCTAAAAAGTATCTCAGTTTAGAACTTCTAGCTGTAAGTTGTACATAGGTAGAATTTTTTTTAAAGACAAGGTCTCTCTCTGTGTAGCCCCGGCTATAGACCATGCTGGTCTTAGTCATAGACCAGGCTGGTGTCAGCCTCTCAAGTACTGGGGTGAGCATCACCTTGCCTGGCCACTATTTAAGTTATAGTTTTGGTTTAAAACTGGATCAAAAGCACTGTGCTAAAAACCCATCTGCAGATGTCTGTTTGGCATCTTACATCTATTTTCATCTACTAAATATGGTTATTTGGGTAATTTCCTTCACATATACTATCTGTTTAAGAAGAGTCTTAAGAGATGTTGGTCCTCAGATAGATGTCTGTCAATGCCTTCTGAAACCCCAAACAGTAACTGATTGGTAGGTATGTTATAAGGACTTGAGTGTACTAGTTCATGGCTGTCTTTTGTCTTGCCTCATGATAACTGTAGGTCTTTTTAAAAAAAAAAATAAAATAAAATCTAAGGTAGCCCAAGTTGACCTGGAACTTGCCATCCTCCTGCCTCTGCCTCTCAAATGGTTCATTATCAATGTGTGCCACCAGGCTTGGCTTGTAAATGTATTTTTCCAATTGTAATTTGAGACATTTGGTATGAGAAAGATAAAAATACACATAGGGAGAGTGGGATAAAATATCTGAAATTAAATATCTCAGACATATCTAGAAATATCCATTGTACATGGAACAAAAGCACAAAGCCCAGGAACACAGAGAATAAGAAAACAGGTGTTCTGCTTGGAAACAAGATCAAGCCAGGATCTTATGTGTGCTTTGTGCAGAGCTCAGTTTTTAAGGAACATTGTACAGTTAGTCATCTAATCCGAGTTTCTCCCACTTGTTCTGGGCCAACTCTCACATTCCTCAGAGAACATTCTGCTTCAGGCTTGACAGGAAAGTTGAAAAACATATTCCTTTCATAGAGGCATGCATGGCTTGTCACACTCGGATGCAGAGATTTCTCAAACCTTCCAGCGGCTGTCTTCTATGTAATTCTAAAAAGGAAGTCAGAGTTCCTGGAATCACAAGGAATATTTTCACTAATTTTTAATTTATGAGTTTTTAAAGGTAAGGAAGATATCATCAACATGCTGAAGAAAAGCAAACTAAGTGACTATGTAAAAGAACCAAAAATGGGTTTGGGTTTTTTTGAGGCATAGTTTAAGAAAGCATGATAGGATGAAATTGGTATCATGAAGGTCGAGTATGGTTTTCTAAATAACTTGCTCATCTGACTTTTGTTTTAACATTTGGAACTGAAAATGGGGAGATAAAATGCTCAGATAAAACTATAAAACTTGTGGCTAGGAAGTAGCTATGACATAAGAAAAAGGAACAGTCACAAGAGCATTCAGTGCCAACAGGTTCATAGTTTAAAGATGCCACTTACATGCTCACTTACTGGGACCCCGTGGTCATGGCACATGCCTTTAATCCCAACACTTGGGAGGCAGAGGTAGGAGAATCTGAGTTCAAGCCAGCTTGGTCTGCAAAGTGAGTTCCAGAAGAGCCAGAATTACACTGAGAAACCCACAAAATAAAAATAAAAAAAAATACATGCTCACTTAATTCATAAGCCAAAGTGGGAGAATAAAGAAGGCAGAAAGAACTGGCCCACTAGGGTGCTGTTTATTTCACACTTTAGCTCAAGAAGAAATACATCTGCATGGATGCACAGCCATCTATGAACTGTACAACACAGGCAGTCTGAAGAACATCTGGACAAAGATTAAAGTGATAAGAAGCAATGATACTAAAATTACGAAAGAATTATTATAAAATAATATTGCGGGGATACACCATAGGACACTTGATTTCCCCCTTTTAGCACAAAATTGACACCAAATTTGCCTGTATTAATGCTAGATTAAGAGTCTTGTGAGACAGAGATCTCAGGGAGACAGGATGCTCAGTGCTTTCTAGAGTCCACTGTGGTGACTAATTATGAGGTAGTCTATCTCGTCTAAGCGCAAAGCAATGCTTCTGATAACCTGACGACTCTTCTGACCACTTTACATCAAAGGTAAAGGTGCTTTTACTCTAATTCTGACCAATGTGGAGGAGCTGTTTGGTGTCAGGAGCCTGGCTGAGTCTAAGACAGTTAAAAAGGAAATGATGGCGCATGCAGTTAGATCACTGCAAGAAAGGAAAGGGGCTCTTAGAGTGAGAATGAAAGATGTCTAAGGCTCAGAACAGAACACACACACACACACACACACACAGCCAGGGCTGATGCTTATTAGCAGTAATTTCTGCTGAGAGACCAGCAGATTGTCTTCATGAGGAAGAAACGAGATATCTGAAGAGCCCAAGGCTCTTTAATTAAGATCCCAAGATAGAAAGGGCACCAGCACAAAGCATGTGCCATACCAGGAAACAGAACGGCAAGAATCCTGCCCAAAGATCAGAGCCGATTCCTCCTGTAAGGCCTTCATACTCACTTTGCAGTCTACTGACAATTCTGAGGAAGGAAGCTCCTGTAGCCTGTGACATGCTTGGCCACCACAGGTGTGGATCCAGACCGTTTACCCAGGACTCTGTAATCTGTCACCACTAGGTGAGATCAGACACAGTCTTTAAACCATGACTGTGTAAAAGAGACAGGAAAGGCTCAAGACAGATGTGTAGTGCTAATAAGTGAGGAGAAATGGTAGACTTCTAAGGTCCTTCTTTGCTCCATCTTTACTGTCACAGAATTACATTATGACTGAAAAATCTGAATAAACCCTGACATGAAGGGAAGGATCCTGAAGGATTTACACCTTTTAGTACTTACTCTATGTGCATATTTCATACTCATGTAGTGAAAGAGTAAGCATTCAGAAACACTTACAAACATCATAAATTAAATGTGTTTTCACAAATAAGATACAGACTTGTGTATCTATGTCTAAGCAGGTATCTATGTAACTATGTAGCTAAGCATCTATATAACTACATCTTGTTTCTCTTACTATCACTGAAGGTTCTTCAAAAGTTCAGTAATGCTGAAGGTTTAGGGAAGATTCACAAATTGAGGGCAAGAATGAAAACTTTCTAGTTAAGGAAAAGGTCCTAGCAGGTGAGGTGTCACATGCTTATAATCTTAGCACTCAGGAAGGTGAAGGAAGTAGGAGTTGGACGTTATTTTGGGTTACATAGCAAGATCCTTTGTTCAGTTGGTATACTGTTTGTCTAGAATGAGGGAAGCCCCAGGTCCAATCCCCAACACATAAACTGGACATCCTAGCACTACTGTAGGCAGGATGATCATAAGTTCAAGGTTATCATTAGCTACACAGTGAATTTTAGATCAACCTAGGATACATAAGACCCCACATTAAAAAATTTTACTTACTACTCTAAATAACTAAAAAAATCAATTGAAAAGAGTTTATATAAACAAAATTTTCTTGTTATTATAAGTTACATACTATATATTATGCCTGATCATACAGATAATTAAGTCCAAACTGAAAAATACAATTGTATAACATAGACATATTTAAGTCATTAAAAATTCATTTATGTCTTGACAATTAATGGAAAAGGCAGGCTGTGGGTGGAGCTCAGTGAGAGAGTACTTACCCAGCATGGCCAAAGCTATGAGTTTGATTCTTAGCACTACCTAAAAGCAGCCAAACAAAAACAATAATAACAAAAAACAAAAGAAAAATAATTTCAAAATATGAATGACTTCATTATAAATATAATGCTATATCAATATTGTGGATATATAATATGATGTTCTGTATATTATTCTTTATGAGAGACTTATACTAGAATATTTATTATATCTAATTTAAAATGTGACCCCCTCATCAGTACTTCTTTAACTGCTAACGTCAAAACAAGATTTAAAAAACATATAAAGATTGCTGAGGAGGCAGAGGCAGGTGGATTTCTGTGAGTTCCAGCCTGGTCTACACACAGAGAGTTCCAGGCCAGTCATGGCTGCATAATGAGACCTTATCTTAACAAAACTAAATAAAAAAAATACAAAACCTGGTATGAGATACAAACCTATAAATTTCAATATTCTTGCTCTTTTGTCTAGAGAGCCTAGAGGCAGTTGCTTCTCCAGCCACAATTATAGTATTGTTTTCCATGACTACCCCGGTGCATACTGTTCCTAAACCCTCCCCATACTTAGGGGATGAAATAAAATAGGTTTTCCGTGACATGGGGTCAAAACAGAAGCTGGCATCCCCATAGTTCCTGTGCCGTGATCTGATTCCAGAAGAATTGTTCCCAATACAAAGCAGCAGGCTGGTGGTCTCCATGCCATAGCGAAGATTAGGGGAGTGCTGCTGGGGCATCTTGATGGCTTTGAATGCATTCTGGATCATGTCGATGCAACTACTATCACAAAGGAGCATCGTGTTCCTTCTTAGGGCCTGTCTTAGAAAAGAAGCATTTATAAGTTCCAGTCTGACTTGCTTCAAAAGTTCAACGAGATGCTCTGTACGCAATGCTTGGTTATGGTTTACCCATCTCAGAACCAAGTCCAGAATGCTCTCTTCTCTGGATATATTCAAATCATCAGACTTAATGAGTGCCAGAAGCTGGTGAGCTTCGATGTCTAGTATTTCTCCATGTAGGCTTACCTCAGCAAAGTGCTGATATAAATACTTCTTTGACTGATCAGATAAATCTTCTGCTCCTATTTGTTTTGCAAAATAATAAATTCCTATGCAGTTGGAGGCATCCATGTGGTCCATCATATATTTTTGGCACACGCTAAAGACTTCTTCCATCTGCATAAAATAGGCAGCCATTGCTACGGTCTGTACGTTGGCATTGTTGATGTCCAGAACTGCACCGTACATGTAGGTTAGTATCACTGACACACTTTCTGCTGTGATGTCATAGAGTACAACCTCCCTCTGAGTGCACTCGAGTAGTCCACAGGTGAACATAGCCTTGAAGTAAGGACTAAATGCTGCGAGGACCAGTCTGTGGCAAGGAAATTTCTCCTCTTCTGCTATGAGCACTACATCAATCATTTCTTCTAATTCTTTCATATTCTTAATTTTATCTAGTAAATTCAGGCTATGCTGGTGCTTCTCCTTTCCCTCAGCCTGGTACTCCATGATACACTCCTTAAAGTTTGTAAGTAATGTTTCTTTCAGTTTAGCTTCATTCCTCAGGGGCTATTTGCATTTCTGATTACTCACAAATCAACAGAGATGCCATGAAACTGTCCTGAGGGTAAGAAAAAAAAGCAGGTTTTGTCTAAGAAAAAAAACTTTCTTTATACTTAATGCATAGCATTAATACTAAGAAGCATTTATAAATAAATATTATACATTCAGAGCAGAGCAATTTAAGACAACTACTTCGTGTCTAAAAAGACTTTGAAGTGCAAATCATCAATTATTAACTGCTAATGCAATAGCTGCTAATCATCAGCGGGGTTTTCTTCTAGGGCTGGAGAACCTCAGAGTGAAGGGAGAAAGTAAAAAGATAAGCAAACTTTGCGATTCCATTTCCGGTTATCAAATGGGTCACCCTGTGGGCTGAGGCTACAGAAGGATCTGTTAATATCATTTCTAAAGAGATGCAGTGTTACACTCACCCCCTCCACAACAAACAACCAATGTGTAATGGCTAGTCCATAAGACGAGGACTAGGGTACATAGACCCAGAAAGTGGAATGACTTGAAATTAGGTCCATACTCGGACGGGAAAAATTATTCAGACTGGTAGGTAACGAAAATTTCATTCCTACTGAGTTTTAAAATACAAGCCAGTGGCTGCTGGTCTCTGAATTCCTGGTATTTAAAACTTAAACGTGTCTTCCTTCATTGCCCAGCTTTTCTTTGTTCCCTGTTTCACAGAGGCGCAGACTGAATTGCTTCTTGCCTTTAAAAGCCCTAGTCTAATTAAAAGTCTCTAAGCTGGTGGTGTCACCTTCGCCTTCCCCAGGCGATGCAAACATGAGGTTTCAAGGAAGTTAATTAGCGGCTTTGATTTAAAGAAAGCCATTCCCAGAGCAAGGAGCTCTTGTGATGAGAGGGTCCTAGTCTCCATATCTTTTTCTAGTCTCTCTTGACTACAAAGCTACAGGCAGTGACAATGAATAGTGATGGCAGCAGAGTTGATGCTTAAGAAAGAAACATGAGGTTATAAGAACAGGAATAGTTTTCAACAAGAAAGGGTAGTGAGTCCCCAAATTTCTATAGTCCTGTAAAGAATTAGACATTTCATGGAAGATTGCCTTTTTCTTACTTTCTGAGTGTTGATTTAAAATTCACTTCAATAAGCAAGTGATTTATACATAGTAAGGAGTTATAAAGACCCAACAGGCACTGAGAGAGCCTGTGACATAACAACCTTCCGAGCTAAGAACTAAGACTGTCAGAAAAGTCTACCTGCTGGACATTCTGGCATTGCTTTTATGGTTTACTTCCATAAAGCTTAAAGCTTACTTGGAGATGGTTTTCTGGTTAAAAGCAAACCCCAGATTTATTTATTTTTATACAATGATGGGCAATTAAGAGACTGTTATTTATCTGAATCCTCTTCTACACATGATGACTAGCCCAATTCATTCTTACATGGGGTCCTGACACATCATCACATCACTTTATACACAAACACGATAGTTGGAGCTAAAAAGAACCCAAGCTATTTTACTGTTGTTCAGATCTCAGAATTGAACCTGGACTGTCACACGTGCTAGGCAAGCTCCTTATGGACAGAACAGAAACCTTATTTTAAGGAAGTACCTTCTCTTCTGTTTTTGGTTTTTGAGGCAGCGTTTTTCTGAGAAGCCCTGGATGTACTGGAACTTGATCTGCAGGCTGGCCTTCAGCTGAGATCTGCCTGCCTCTGGAGTGCTGGGATCAAAGGCATGTGCCACCACCACCTTGCTAAGGAAGTAATTTTTTTTTTTTACAAACCTAGTATTTTATTTGTATTGATGTATAAGAAGCCATCAAAGGATACCAGTGCTCATGATGTCAGAAGGCCAAGTGCATCTTCCAAACAAGGTGCCCTTGATCTAACACACCATAGGCAATTTGGTCAGTTCCTAGAATGCTGATCTTGATAATATTAGAAAACTGATGCTTGAGACCCAAAGATTATGATTATAATCCTATGATTTCACATATGTAGGATAGGAGCCAAACTCTACCTGATGGACTTTTTGGTGCTACATTTTGACTATTGAGATTAAAAAATGAAGTTCAAGTTAAGTAAATAATGGGTCTATGTTTGTTCATAAATTTAATATAGGTGGCATTTAAAATATTTTTTATTATTTTGATTTTATGTGTATAGATGTTTTGTTTGCATGTATAATTGTGCACCATGTAAATCTGGTACCTACAGAGGCCAGGCAAAAGTTGTCTGATCTCCTGGAACTGGAGTTACGGACAGTTGTAAGTCACCATACTGAATCAAACCTAGGTCCTCTAGAAGAGCAGTCCTCTACTGAGCCAGCTCTCCTGGCTCAAAGATTTTATGGTGGATGATGTTGGGCTTCCCTTAGTATCCGACCCACCTTCCTAGAAAAAGATAGGCCCCTACATCCCTTACTAGTATTACTGGTACAAGGACAGGCATGACACCCAAAGGTGGCTATAGCAATGAACTTTGAGTCTTGGCTCCATGGCTGGGAGGCCCATATGTTTGACACAGTTGCAGCCATGTGTCATGGGAGCCAGCATCAGGACAAAGCAAACCCAGGGAAGGAGGCAGAGTATTCAGAGCAATTTGGGTTTGAAAATGCATTATCAACAGTTTACAGTTTGGAGGCAGTTAAAGCTGATTTGAATTAAGAATGATATCATTTGAAATCTAGAACCTTTACTTGTATACATGGTATTTGAAGAAACATTGAGAAAAGCGGCCCAAGGTGGCTGTAATTATGTACATCAGTGAGTTGTAGTCTTATATTTTCAGATATCATATTGTTGAGGAGAACCATCAGAATCTTGTATTCTTATTCCTCCTTCATAAAAAGCACCAATCACAAGCTGAACATGGTGGCATACACCTTTAATCCAAGTACTTAGGTAGAGGTAGAGGCAGGAGGATTTCTATGAGTTCAAGACCAGCCTTATCTACACGGTGAATTTCAGAGAAGTCAAGACTACACGATGATATCTTGTCTCAAGAGAGAGAGAAAAAAAACACTAATCATGTAAGTTACTTTTTTTCTATTGGCTTCTTGCAAAATGGCCAAGGCATTATACATGGAAAGAGACTGAACTGTGAACCCAATTCAATCTGACCCCTAAGTCTGTATCCTTACTCCTTTTAGTGCAAGGGCTGGAAACCTAGGGCTAGATGATAAATATGCCAGGCAAGCCATCTGGGCTCTGTCACAACCACTCAACTTTGCTCTTATGGCACAAAAGCAGCCACAGAGGAAAAAAACATAAACAAAGGAACATGACCATGTTCCAGTAAAATGAATTTTGGATGCTGAAATTTGAATTTCACAGATTTAACATGCCCTATTTTCATGTGTCATGAAATAATATTCTTCTTTTGACTTTTAAAAGCTATTTAAAATTATGAAACCTGTTCTTAGCTCATAGACTTTGCAAAAACAAGTGGCAGGTTGCCGACTGCTCCAAAGCTATAAATAAACCCACTCTCAAGACTGTGAGTAGGACACTATCCTGTCTGGGTGACTAATCTCCACTTCTTATCCTAAATTCAGCTCAAGAGTTTTGAGAATTGGTTGTCTGCTTTGAAAATATCAACTATTTGTTCATAACTATATCTATATTTTCCATACTTATAGAAACTCTTAGAAAAATGGTGTATTTGGGTGTGATTCCTCTTGCTCAAACATTAGCTTACACAAATAACAACAACAAAAACCTTCAATTTCCTTTAAAACAGAAACGACAGTTTCAAACATTTTAAAGAATCATTTACTATGAATGTTTTAAATGGACATATACATTTGCTAAGTACCTATTCCTTCTAATTGCTATTTATAGGCTTCTGAAAGGTATTCTAATTGCTTTGGCTTTACAGATCAAATTAATTTGCTGATTGAAATAAATAAAAAAAAATTAGCCTAGCTGTTAAATCAGCTACCACACTTCAAAAGTTCTCAGCATTGTTTCTTAAGAGACAGAGGTTTTGGTGTGGCAGACAGAAGTTAAGCTAGTTGCTTGCTGTCGTCTTAAAATGATTTAACTTTTCCTAAATCTTGGTTTCTTCATCCGAATAATGAGGATAAAGCATATAAACAAAGCCATTTTTCCAGTCTTTAGCCCCCAAATGGACAATAGGTAGATTTTTATCATCACAGTGACTCAGCAAACTTAGTACAGCTTCACAGTTAGGGACTGAACTTGGGCTTGGTTACTGAGGCCTTGGTCTGAGTCCTTGTCTGCCATATCCCAGTATTATGAACATGTTTCATAGCTCTTTAAATTCTAGTTTCTTCACCTGGGATTTCTTTTGAGGATTATGTAAGAGTAGTTGGAAGAAACAAATAAGGTTATACATGTAATTATCTTTGTAAAATCTACCTGGTAAAGTGAAGGCAGGGCATACCTGGACAAACATTTTTCAAACAAAAATAATTTGAGTGCATACATGAATCCCTTGTGGATACAGCTACAGCCCATAATGGAGAGAGCTGACAGCAACTTTTCTCACAATGAGGGCAGAGAGTGTGTTCTCCTTTCATCAGCAGAACAAAACTGTGTGACTGTTCTCAGTGATGTCAATGGGGAGTTATTCTCCGCTCCAATTTACAGCAGGCTGAACCGATGCATTCGTAATAATAGCACCCATAATAATGGAGAAAGATGAGTAGCAAAGATAAATATAAATCACAAGAATAAAGCCTAATTACTCTGCAAATCCAAAATGCAGCTACACTCTAGTCCATTATATTTAGTTTAGAGAAATGCACTGCTATAAATTTAATGGGGGGCGAAAATGTCAGTTTCTTTACATCATAAATGTTTTGCTTTCAGAGACCTTGAATCGAGGCCTCGAATCAGACCAATGATTCTTTGCGATGAACACGGGCATATAAAAATGTGTGGACACGAGTTTACTGTGACTCACTGTGTTGTACTTTAGCTTCCATGATGAGCTCCTCCCTTTTTTTCTGTTAAATTTTATTTTGTTTTATTTTGGGGGGGAGGGAGATGAGAGGGATCAGGAGGCATGATGTGAAAGACATAAAGAATAAATTACAAAAGTTAAATGTTTCCTTTCACAATGTTTGAATTTATCATCTTTCCTCTACCTTTACAGTCGCCACCTTTTCTGAATGATTGATAATGACCAAGCTTTTCTTTCTAAGAAAATTCTCCATCTTTAGTAGAAGGTAAAGTAATTAAAATTCATACCAGCACTGTTTGAAATAGCAAAAACCAACTTAATATCCATTAGCAGACTATAATATATTCACTCAAAAGAATAATGTACAGCAGAAAAATTAATAAACATGATCTTCATGTATCAAAAACATAGTTATGAAAAAGACTAGAATATATGCTGCATACTATTAATGTGTTTAAAATATACAATATGAGCCGGGCGGTGGTGGTGCACGCCTTTAATTCCAGCACTCGGGAGGCAGAGGCAGGCGGATCTCTGTGAGTTCGAGACCAGCCTGGTCTACAAGAGCTAGTTCCAGGCCAGGAACCAAAAAGCTACGGAGAAACCCTGTCTCGAAAAATCAAAAAAAATATATATACAATACAGTAGGCTATTCTGATATAAAAGTGTAGATCATATATTCTGACAATATAAATAGTTGGTGAATTTGGTAAAGTGTATTAACAGATTTTTTTTTTTTTTTTTTGGATTTTCGAGACAGGGCTTCTCCGTAGCTTTTGGTTCCTGTCCTGGAACTAGCTCTTGTATTTTAATATTATTCTTGGATTTTTTCATAAATTTGAAAACACCCAAATAAAAAGGTTAAATGTCATGTATTTTGAAGGACCTGTACAGCAGTACCAGAACATAAAGAAATGAAGGCAGTTATACGCGCTGACTTCAGGAGAGTAGTTGCCTTCATGGGGTATGGAAGAAAGGGAGACAAACAGGACAGAATGACAAGGAGTTTCAGTTGTATAAATGTTTAATTTCCTTAGCTGTATGGTGAGGACTCAATCCACACTTCATTGTTCTTTAAGCCCTTTTTTATATATTGAAAAATTCATGAATTGTGTTTAAAAGACTGTACTAATATTAATCACTTATGGCTTCTGAAAACCTTAGCCGTGTTGAAAATGATGTCTGTACATTATCTGATATGCCATATGCAGAGAAATAATAGATACATTATGAATTTTCATATATTGTAAATTTACATATCAAAGTGTAGACAGCCCAACTTATGAGCGATGGGAAAATACAGAAACCTCCTATCTGGTCTGAATGACAACAGCTTTGAAATCTTGTGGCTATCCCTCACTTCCATGTTAATTTCTTTAGCATTGACCTGTGTGATGGGAGCAGTTACTAGATTCAGAATTGTTATGTGTTTATTGGAACAGTGAATAGGTTACAGCCATGATAGAAATGACCAACATCAAAGCTTTGCTTTTTTGTTTACTTAAAAAACAAACAAACAAAAAAAAAAACGACTGAAGAACAGAAAAGTGAGGACAGGCTCCAAATCTAATTTTCCCAAAACTGCCTTCAATAGACCTAAGTTAACAAACCAAGAAATGTCAACATTATGGCAGAAAATAATATCCCAGTTTCAATGTTTAAAACAAAATCATTTATTAAGAAGGCTTTTTAAAAGTCAGCGGCGACCATGAAGAAATTACTTCACATTTAAAAAAATTATCGTAGGCCAATTTTCACCACCACTGATTCAAGTATTGCGGGTTCCCTGTAATCTGGCTCCTCCCACCACTGCCGGCCTCACTTCCTGACTTTGCTTCCTTGTAGATATTTTATAGTGTTAAAGTGCTAGCAATTCTAACTCATATTGCAATTCTCGGTGTCTTCCCTTGTCCAGCTCTCCAAAATTCGGCTAAGATACCACTTTCTTGACGTAAAGGGCTTTGTTTCATTCACTTCTCTGTTTTCATTGTGACTCTGGTGACACTTGGCATAAGAGTTGCTCGGCATGGTTTGATCAGATTAACGCTTTGTTTAGTACTCGTTCTTCCCTAATAACTGCACTCCCCTCTCCCCTTTGTCTTAGAAATATTTTTTTTTTGAGACAGGCTCTTTCTAGGTAGTTTTCCTTGAAATCTAATTCACAGAGATCTTGCCTTCCAGTCTCCTGTGTGCTGGGATTAAAGGCACGTGCCACCATGCCAGCCCTTCCCCCTTTCTAGCTTGCATGTACATTTCTATCTTGCATGTCAGTTTGGGAGATTTTTTACTTTGTTTAAACGTTATACTTTTAAACTTTAAGCTATTATCCTCTTGCCCAACTATAAAATTCACCCGGAAGACTTTCTTCCCTTCCCAGGAAATGTGCTGCCTTATGGCATCGACGTCTCGCCCGCCCTCAAGATTAACCCATAGCCATCACTGGCTCTCTAAGACAGACGCCTCTTTTGGGGAACAAGCAGCAGAGCTTTCTTCAGCTTCAAGAAACAAACCTGAAACATTCCCACATCTCTAGGGGAAAAGCGAGACACGGCAGCAACGGGCCCTTGATTCCCGTGTGACCTGAAAAGCCCACTGCAGCTCCTCAGACGGCAAATCTGCTCACCTTTCCTCACTGTCAGCCATTCTTTATCGTACGTTGCTTTGCTCTACTCTCTCCTTGTAGACTATTTTACAGCCATCTAAGTTCGCGACCCCTGGTTTACAGCGTCACACACCCTTGCTGGGTTTGTTTCTGCCATCACCACCTTTCCCCAATCCTACATCTACCAATGTGGTGGTCGGAGGTGACTCTGAATGTACATACCACCTAAGTGCTGTGGTTTCCCTGATATGTTTAATTAATACTAGTAATTCTCCCCCAAACATATACAAGGCATGTAATAACGAGTCACAGAGATGATAAAGACAAACACGCTTTCTTTTCTCTTTCCTTTGGTGAGCTCGCAGTGTTTTTGCATTCGCAGTTCTTTCTACTTTCCCAAGTGCTTTAGTATGCATTATAGCTCATTAGTTCCTCTTAAGAATCATGTGGGGAAAATGCAGGGCAATTATATTCCTGGCTTTAAAGTTAAGAGAGTTGCCCAGGGATACATTCAGCGCTGATTGAATTTAAACGAACCGAACCCTGCATTATTAAGGAGCTCTAGGAAGGCAGGCGAGCCCTTACCTCGATGACGTTTAGCGTCTAGCTGGGACAGAACGGGTCATGGGGGGGGGGGGTGGACACGGCATCATCATGGAGAGCACGCAAATGAATCACGCCACAGGGGGACCCAGCGGCCGCTGACCCTCGCTGGCCGACCCGAGGGCGCGTCCCCTCTGGGCCCCTACTTACTTGCTGCCGCCCGGCCTGCTCGCTCCGCTGCGATGGCGCTGTGACTGGGCACGCCGCGGGGTCGAGGGCACGGCCGGGCGGGCCTGACTGACCACACTGCCCGAAATGGGCCAGTGCGGACAAGAACTATAAATAGACAGGGCGAGGGGGGTGCGGGGGGACAGGCGGCGTCCCAGCGGGGACAAGGACGGCGCTGGCGGCCACCCTGAGGTAACAGGTGCTTGGTCTCTGCGCGGGAAGCGGCTCGGCCAGGCGCCGCAGTGTGCGCCTGCGCGGGGGTCTTCCCGCGCCGATTCCACACACACTCCACTGCAGACCCCGACTCAACAAGTGCTCTGCGCCTGCGCGGGGGTCTTCCCGCGCCGATTCCGCACCACAGCCTGTCCAGGAGTTCAATGCCAGGCCAGAGCCTCCCCGCGGCACACTCTGTGCTAGGGACGAGATGTGTCAGGAGCCTAAAAAGACACCTTCTAAAAGAGAATTTGGAAGTCGGATCTTTGAAGGTGACAAATCTTTCACTTGGTCTTTAAACGTTGCAAAACACAAGCGCTCATTGTGTGACCTCATTGAGAACGGTCTATGGTAGGGTTGCCAAATAAAACACAGGAACCAGTTAATTATAAAACTCAGACATACAACCTCTATTTTTTTTGTATAATTTGTACTAGATATCACATGACCAATTCACATTTAGAAACAACTCATTGTTTTGATTTGGTTTTCTATATTTTTATTCATGATAGCTGACAATTGGACCTGAGCAATCAGCTCTGATTTTTTTTGGGGGGGGGGGTCCCAAGGAAAGATTAATTCTGTTCTCAGTTGAGAGGAAACTTACCCCTGAGAAGTGTTCTCAGAGTCTTTACTTTGTGGGTAAAGAAATAGTATTAAGTCAGCTAGTTTAAAATAAAACAAAATGGCTTCAGTATGGTATACTACCTTACATTTAACGTTTCACTGCTCTGGGGATCAGAATCAGAAAATGTCTTCCCAATGGGTTAAAATGAAGGTGTCAGTGGGCACATGTTTCTAGGAGAGAATCTGTCTCCTGGCTGTTTCACCGTTTCTAGAAACTTTGACTCTTTTGTGTGTGATTCCTTCCTCTTAAAGGTCAGGACCAAGCTGGGGGTGATTGGTCATTCCTGTAGTTCCAGCACCCAAGAGGTGATGGCAGGAGGTCAGAAGTGCGAGGGGCTTTTGGCTTCATAGTTCAAGGTTTGCTTGTCGTATATGAGACACTACAGCATCCCCCCAAGCCGGGGTCATAGAGATGAGTTCTTCTCAGGTTGTATCACTCTGGTGCACACTCTTCTTTTTCCTTAAAAAAAAAAAAAAAATCCTTGTGGTAAAATATGTATATCATAAAATTTACCATTTATTTGTTTTAAGTGTTCAATCTAGCGTCCCTAAATAATGTTAGCAATTCTGTGTAACTACTACAGTTTGGATGCTGAGTATCTCCCAGAAGCACGTTGAAGATGTGAACCCCAGGGTGATGCTGTTGGGAGGCGCTATGACCTGGTAAGTCCTTAGATCACTGGAGGGTGTGTCTGACGGAGTCCACAGGACCTCACTTGGTCTTTTGGTGTTTTGAGCTCCGGTATGAATCAAGCTGTTTGCTCTGCTGCTCCCCACCATTACCATCCAGTTCACCTACCAGAGGTCCAAAACAATGGACTCAACAACCTCTTCCACTTGAAATAAAATACCCGTTTTTCTTTATAAACTATCGTCTCTGATAGTTCATTATAGTAACGGGAAGCTGAGCAACACAACTGCCTCCAGCATTTCCATGTCCACATTCGAAAACTCACGCCAAACAAAGTACTCACTAGGAAGTAACTCCCTATTCTTCTCCCCTCACAAGTGCCAGTCATCGCCACTCTAGTTTCTGCCTGTATGAATTAACCTATTATAATACTTTATATGCAGAAGTATATAATATTTGTCCTTTTGTTACTTATTTATTGAACTTAACATAATGCCCTCAAGGTTCATTTAATTGTATCATGTATGAACATTTCCTTGTTTTAAGAATTGATATTACTCTGTGTATTTAATCCTTAAATATTGTATTGGAGATTTTTTTTTGTCCTTTTTTCTTTGTTGAGGGAAGAACTTACTGTGCAGCTGGGGCTGCCCTCTGGCTCATCATCCTCTTGCCTCAGTCTCCCTTAGAGCATTGTAGCATTGTTCTTGCATGTGTCTCTATCTTCAAGTACATATTTTCAGTTGTTTGAAGAAACTCCTCTCCTTTTCTTACAAACACCCCTTGATGGGCCAGATCCACTTAGATCCTTCTACAGTTATTTCCACTTCTATTTTTAGTTTTCTTTACAGGGTGTCAGAATGAAGCGAAGGGGTCTTTCTTGGCTTGAGTTGAAGCCCTCTTTAATTTCCTTGATGGCTATCTTATTTCACCTTTTATATTTGTTTCAAGAGGAAGTGGGGTTGTGTGAAAAAACAGAGCTTGGCATTCAGAGACCAAATTAGATCCTGCATTTCATCCCTAGGTGACTTTAGTTGATCTCAAAATACTTGTTTGCCAAATGATTAATCAAATGTTAATATTTAGCAAATATATTGATATATCACACAAACACTAAGAGCTCTGAAGCTTAAACTTGGTTCTTGGTTAGCCTCCTGCACTTAGGTCTCTCTTGCTGCACGTGGTGTGTGTGTGTGTGTGTGTGTGTGTGTGAACATGTGTGAACATGAAGCTTCAGGCTCAGCATCTGTGGATCCTATGGGACAGTAGAGTTTTTAGCAGTTGCAATATTTTCTCCCTTCGTTCCTTCGTGTCTGTCTGTCCTTCCATCTTCCTTCCCTCCCTCCCTCCTTTCCTTCCTTCTTTCTCTTTTTGGTTCTTGTCTAAAAGGCACAGATGTTCTTGCCAGTGCCTGGCACACTGTACTCCCATTGCAGAGCCTTGCACTGTGGCAATTTGTAACACTCACTGTATTTCCCCTCAATGCTAGTAAGCTTTCTGTCACCTTAACAAAAACCTGAGAAAATAACTTATAAAGAGAAAAAGGTTAATTTTGGCTCATAGTTTTATAGATTTCAGTTCATAATCAATTAGAACAATTGCTATAGAGACTGTGGTAGTCTATCCAGGTGGAAAGAAATGGGTGCTGTGGTGCTTTGAAAGAGAACAGCCCCCAAAGGTAGTGGCATCATTAGGAGAAGTGGCTTTGTTGGTGTAGGTGTGACCTTGTTGGAAGAAGTGTGTCACTGTGGAAGCAGGCTTTGAGGTCTCATATGCTCAAGTCATGCTCAGTGTGACACTCGGTCTACTTCCTGTTGCCTACATATTAACATGTAGCATCTCCTTCTCCAGCACCATGTTTGCCTGCACACCACCATGTTCCATCATGATGAAAATGGACTGAGCCTCTGAACTGTAAGTGAGCTACCCCAATTAAATGTTTTCCTTTTTAGGAGTTGGCATGGTCATATATCTCTTCACAGCAATAGACACTCTAAGACAGGTCAAATAAGCAATAAAATGACTTGTTTCATAGCCTGGATGTAGAAGAATGACAGGAAGAGACTGAGGTCCTGCAAATTACTTTGAGGACATAACCCTAATGATGTGGAGACTTCATCCTAGGCTAGTGGTTCTCAACCTTCCTAATTCTACAACTCTTTAATACAGTTCCTCACATTGTGGAAACCCCAACCATAAAATTATTTTCATTGCTTTGCTACTGTTTTGAATAGTAATGCAAATACCTGTGTTTCCTGATGGACTTAGCGACCCTTGTGAAAGGGTCATTAGACCCCAAAGGGGCCATAACCCACAGGTGGAAAGTTACTGTTGTAGGCCCTCCCTCTTAAAATTTCTAGCACCTGCTAATTGTTCCAAGCTGTGGAGCAAACCTTTAACACATAGGCCTTTGAGGACATTCCAGATCTGAACACACACCAACCCTGAGAGCATTCATAGGCCAGGGCCACTATCCTCTTCACCTCTGCTGGGACACCAGGTGTCCTGACCTGACTCTGCTCCTCACTCAGATTCCTGCAGTAGAACCGGCAGGTAGCAATGGGTCTATTTTACGTGACAAACTGGCAGGAGGATGAAATGGTCCTGCCGGGGGATGTGAAAGTGATTAATAAACTATAAAGTCACGCCAAGTCCTTTACTTGAAAATGGACTTCTGTGCTTTTCCACCGTTCTTATTCCTGAGCATGCTTCCCTTTCTTAATAAGCTCTCTGTTTCTGCTTCTAACCACGTGTCCCTGGCGTGACACAAAGAGTCTGGAAACAGTCGTCCCGTGAACTCGGATCTGTGACCCAGCACTGTTAAGTGTGCTTCTCTGACATTTTGGGCTTTCGCACTGTTCTGCTGACCTCCATGCCTAACTTCAAAGGCATGCATTTTTCCATATCTCCTCCTCCTGGCAGTTGCCAAGATTTGCAGCTTGCCTGTCCTTCTATTCGTCTCTCAAACTTTAATAAAATTGTCCTTTATCTTCAGAAAGATCTTGAAAATGCAGCAGAAAGCTATCTCCTATTCATAATCTGTTCCATCCTACAGCGAGCTAGATACGGACCATACTTCCTTTGTTGGCTTTCCCGTTTTAGGAATCAATCGCAGAGAAGCTCAGAGAAAGGAGTTCTTACCAGTTTACTAAGCCCCACTGGTACATTTTTGTGAACAAAGCCTATTCAGACAGCCTTTCCATCCCGAGGGCATTTGAGGCTACATACAAGCTCTGGAAACCAAATTTCTCTTGTTTTGGGCTATTTCATTTTTTCTCAGCCATGAAATCCCCAGATCCCAAGTGTATGTATGAGTACTCAAACTCTGCTTTAGTCTGGTGCCAAGTAGTTCTTAACACACGCATGATGAGTTGCTATTATTTGCCGTGTTATTAAGCAGTGATCCAGTGATCCTATATGTTGTTTGACCTTACAGATCACTAGAATGAGAACACCCTCAAATACAGAAAGCAAGTTTTTAATACACATTTACCTGGATAGGAGCTTTTCGTGGCTGCTGGAGCGTCTCTAGGTGTCAGCCACCCAGCCCCCTCCTCTCTTCTTAATCTCCCTCCCTCAGATATTGCCCTCACCCTCCTGCCCCAGGATAGCTCGCCACTGCCTCCAAGCAGTCGTGAAGAGAGAATACCAAACCTTTTTCTGAGAGACTACTTCTGTGTACACAAGATGGTTACTGCGTATCACTGGCTTTTAGTTGCACAACAAAACCTAGCTGTTGGGGTGGGGCAGGGAATGGGAAATTTAGTTTATCATGGATAGCAATTTTTTTTCTATACAGAAGATGGGAGATACAATATTATATCTTCTAAGTAGGTAGCATTGTGTACCATTAACACTCTGTAACTTAAACATTTATTTTGCTTTTTACAATGCCTAGTGCCTCTCCTTTCTAGTTGTTTTCAATTTAGTTTAGCACTGGCACATTTAATTTTGTGACTAATGTCTTCTCTGTCCAAATGCTATGAGGGCAAGGAGTGTGT